ATAAAATAATATATTTCATGTAAAACAATTTAAATTTAAAACAGAAATGTTTAGATTTATTTTATATATCTATATATATATATATATATATATATATATATATATATATATATATATAAATATTTATTGTTATTATTCTTACGAGCCTAATTCCTTCAATTTATTTATTATTATCATGTAATATCTATTTTAGCATATTTGATATAAGGTTTATAAGGAAAATCACACTCGCAAATTCATCAGGAATTTACGGATAAAGCGATTGTCGATATTCGCATATGTATTGCAAAGTGCGAATTTAATTTTAATCCTCTAATGCCGTCGCCGCTAATTCTTTATTGATCCATTGTTTCATTCTTGATATCCGCAACATCCATTGTCGACGACAAATATCATGGATTGATAATAATTCTGACATTAAATATAGACAAAAATGGATTAAATAAATCCAGCCTAGACTTTTGGGAAATTCAACATGGACAATACTGTAACGTAATCTAGAAATCTTTTAACGAAATTCTATGATGCACATACGTGATCAAATCTTTCATTTTACACGCAGTCGTTCATATTTTGCATGACAGAAACATGAAATTCAAATTATTAATTTTATACACATTAACTGTTGACCCCCGGCTTGGCAGATCGAAAATACGCCATGTAGGAAAACTGAAAGATAAATTGACTGTCCGAATTTGAAAACGGGATTGATTTACGATCGGTGCATGTCGCATTAATATACGCAAGAAGAGGATCGGCGGAAATCTGGTGCGGTTGCAATTCGCGTTCTCGATTGAAAATAAAAAGGCGGACGTGTACACGTCCGCCGCAGCTCTCTCGCGTATCGACAGGCCAGATGCAGGGACGACCGCAACAATACCGAACTCGTTATTTTCCTTCGCTGGTGAAGATTAATTCGACCGCGGCCGATCCGCACCCGCGATTCGCGGAATTAATTCGAAGTTCGACGAGATAACGAGATTATTTAGAGAGAGCAGAAGAAGAGTATCACGTCAGCCGTTTTTCCCCATGACCGATAAATTCATAGGTATAAGGAGGAGATCGTGAATCACGCGTGATATGAACTTCGATCGCGTCAATTCTTATTAAGTAGAATCGTTAAATTAAAACGAATTATCAGCATGAATAACTAAAAGAGAATTTGTGTCTTTTACTATCGGAAATAAAGTAACCAAAAACGTAACATTTTGACTTATAGAGGCTTATATAAAGTCGGTCTAAATTAATCGATTTGTATTAATCAGATTTGTAATATGTAAGATATTCGACAATGTATTGCACAATTATTTTATGTACAATATTATAAAGTCAATTCCTTTAAACAAGTAATACGTAACCTTTCGCGAATTTTTTTATTACTAAGTAATAAACAATCGACTTATGTCAGCTTCATGCCGTTCGCTATAGTGTCGCTAAATAACCTGTTAATTATTCCATTAACAAACGGTTTAATTAATTAATTAATTTACCGTGTGGTTCTCGCGCAAACCGACGTTCGCGCATACTCATTTTCATCAACGGACCTAGCGCGATCGTTAACGCGCGCGCGCGCGCACACACAAGCATGTACGACAGATGCATTCCCACGTGCAAATTTAACGTGTCGACGTGCTCGCGTTACGTTAACGTTCCGTCTCCGCATCTGGGACGACGACGTTAGCGCGCGCACGCGAGCGCGCGCGCGCGCGCGAATTCAGTCGGCGGTATCTGGACACATTATCGCGTCATTGTTCGCGCTGAAACGCGTCAGGTCGTATATATGCGCGCCCACCGAAACATTATCTTTTCGTGTGCTCCGAAACTGTCTCGCCGTGGCGGAACAGAGGAGCCATAGCGAGCCTCGGCCCCGGGAAAGACGGAAGAGTGATAACGAATACGAGCTTCCTCCATCGCGTAAGAGAAGGTGTCGGGAAAAGCGGAGAGCGAGAAAAAAAAGTCGCGCGATGATATAATTACTGACAGAACGTGCAGGAGAGACAGAAAGAAAGAGAGAAGCTGCAACAACCGCAGAGGGAATACAAAAGATTTGCATTTCAAATATAAATGTAAGATATACCATCTATCCGGATAAGAGTAAAACAAAAGCGAAAAAGAAATGCCACGTAGATATCGTAACACGACGCCTTTCGGTCTCCGTTGCAAATGTCGCGAAGCTCAACCGCGGAGGTGGAGGCTCGGATCTCTGCAGTCTCCCGGCTCCCGGAAGAAAATATTTCACGATTTTTCTTTTGCGCAATTATCTCTTTTTCCCCTAATAGCATGATTAGCGAGCATTGACGATTACCGTAAGCTAACAATCGATATGTCTCATTCGACCAGTGAAATGCGGCGAAGAAATTTGGTGCTACCGAGAGAACGAATAAATCTCAACGGAGACAAGAGTGCGCAAGATGGACATTTTACGTATGGATCAGAATTGAAATATTAACATTTTATGAGAAGCGACAATTGTGATCGTAAGATTTCATGCCCGGCCGTAAATCAAGAGCCTCAATAGAAATTGTTGGAACAATAAATTCGACACTTCAATCCCTTTCAAGAGACACGATTTAATGATTGCAATTTTACGATGTCATGTTAAATTATTTTTAATATAAATAACACACGCACGTTTGCACACGGTGTAATCATGCAAAGCAGTTGACGGCAGACATTCGGTAGACTGTCGTCAGTTATCACGAGGTTTTCCCACGCACAGTGACGCACCGAGAGGACGATACGAAGCAGCAACGAATCTCGTCTGCCCAGAGCAGAGATAAGTATTTCCAAGCATATAAATGGATATTTAACACATTTAATTCTGACAGCCAGCAATAAAAATTGGATTGACATTTCGGAAAGTTAACTATGAACTGCATCCTTGCTGCACATTTTCAGCGAAATATGTGATCGTTTGGTCCTGGGTATATATTTGCTCGAGAACCCGTTTTAAGTAAATGTTGAATAACAGCTGAATGAGGGATGGTTCCGTATTTGTGCGGAGCGAATTAACTGATTATATGACTGTAGTCCAGCGGAATTAAATTCATTAGCTATATACAGAGTGGAGCGTGACAAAACAGCGAAATTAATAACCTGTTTGTATTAAAGTTAACAGTAAAAAAAATTTTAAACACTGCAAATGTCATGAAATTAACTAAAATTAAACCGTGAAATTTGTAATTACATACATATCATGCGGTATATTTTCGACTGAATCTTTCTAAAAAACAAATTAATATTTTCGCTTTATTTACAAATAAACGAATTATTGAAACAGATAAATAAATTGTAAAAATTGTAAAATCATGAAAACAAATCATCAAATTACATTTAAAAAACCAGTTAAAATAAACTTTTACTTTGATGAAAATTTTGTCGCAAAAAGCGCCTTACTCTGTACGCATTAACGAGATTGTAAGAAGAAGTTAAAACAAACCATCTTGTTTGAAACTTTTGTCATCATTTTTTTTCACGGTTGAGATAAGAAGCTCTCAGGTTCATGAGAAAAATCTCTTGCTAGCCGTTGGCGTGTAAAGATAATCCAAATAACGCACAATGACTTCGTTTTAAGAGGATTTACTGTATTTCTAGGCATTTTCCGCTTGTGAGCATATAAATGGAAACTCTTGTTGTCCATATTTTATACATATGAAATGAATTACAACAATGCATAATTATTTAATTTTCAATTTTGAAATTAATAATTAATATTGCGGTAATTGAGTGCAAAAAAATATATAGGCATATTTATATTATAAAAAATCTTAATTCAGAAAAATAAACTGTAAAAAAATTATTACAGCAGAATTTTTTGCCGCAGATATTTTATAATATTAAATTTAAATATTAAGTTTTAGATTTACATTGTTCATTTATGAATAAAAAAGTTTAAATATAATATTATGAAAACAATATAATTAAGAAATGAGCCAAAAACGAGCAAATGTTGACTGTAAATTTAGTTCTTTATTATCTTTATATTACAATTTCGCGATACTAGTTTCGACCTCACTAGGCCTTTCTCGGTCGCCTAAATACTTAATTTCGTGTAACGTAGCGCATTAAATATAAATAATGTATTTATTTTTACAATAACGAGCTGTTTATTATTAATCTATATCAATATATAATATCATGCATCTTCTTCTCTTTCGTCAATGTTCAATATTACATACGACACATCGGCTTCTTTATTGTCGATTCCCGCGACGTTGATTAACTCTAATCTCAGCGTACCATATCTTTCTATTCGTGTCATGATACGATCATCTGGAGAGAACGAATTCAGTTAACTTCAATTAAGGTTAACCAGTGTTAGAGGCATCGATTCCTAAAATGGAATGTCCATAATTCTAGTGCGTCAATCACTTCAAATTGCATAAATCCTCGCCCGTTAAGCCTAAATACAAAATAAAATTCCTGATTTGTTTTTTAACAATCAGATTAACACAATAGATATATTTTTACGTGATTTTATTTAAATATTTGGACTAAGTTAGTCCTTGTTCTTAATACACACACACACACACACACACACACATACATATATAAAATAAGTTTCTTTAGTAGCTCAAATTTATTTTTATTAATATATATATATATATATATATATATATATATATATCAAAGAAACTTATTTTATAGTACGAGATTCACTATGAATTTATCCATAATTTATTTATATTTACTCATTATAATAAGTACTTTATATATATAAGTACATTATAATAAGTACATTATAATAAGTCCGCGATTTTTTCCTGATTCTATCAAAATATTAATTTTCAAATTTATATTGTTTTGTACTTTTCAGATCGTATAGAAAAATTTCGTAAATTGAAATAATAAGCAAATTGTTGTACCGCGAGATTCCGGCTTCAGACTTTAGGCTTTAGACTTTACACATGTGACGGTGGGTGGTAACGGCTCGCAATTGCGTGGAGGGAGAAACGGCCACTTGGCAGGGGAATAATAACGACGGTCGGACTGACACACACGCGGCGTGCAAAGAGCCGTCGGAGACGTGAGGCTTTATAAATCGCGAGGATGCACGTCGAAGCAGTGACACCTCGGCCGACGACGGTGAAAAACGCGCGGCCGCGATCGACCAGGAGTGGCGAGCGCATTTTTCACACTTGAGCATCGTGAGTATCGTACTTGTGGAACGCGATTAAAAACGCGGCGCAAAAGTTTCCCAACAAATGACATCGGAAAGTTTTCCACTGATGCGATCAACGATCGCTCGCCTTGATACTTCTCTCGCGGAAAGATGGTAAAAGATTCCTCCCTTCTCCGAGGGAGGGATTGAAATCTCGACTTCGTACGAAGGGTAGTCTGATCGCGATTAATTTACCGGGCTTTCCCAAGTTTCCTCCTTGTTTTACCGACCTCGATCCGGCCGGTTTTGAACGAACCAAAGTATTTGAAGTAACCAATCTCCCAAGGTTTCTGGAAACATCAAGAAACGATATCGACACCTCCCGGCGAGAACAAACATTTCGCTTGCCATATTGCCGCACTTTAACGGCGCGGAGGTCGATCGTTCGGGACCATTCAATCGGTTAACTTCTCCGGAAACAGATCGACCGGAACTCACCGCCCCGAGGAAGATTGCGAGATTCTTCGACGCGCGACTGGTCGACGCGCTTCCAGCTGCAGTAGCATCGATCGTTGCAAATTGGATTGCCGCTAAGACTGAGGCGGCGGTGGGACCACCTTGGAATCGAGCAGACTTGTTCAGTGCCGCCGGTATCAGCGCGAAATTTCCAGAGAGTGAATTTCGGAGTTTCGGAGGCACATCGCAGCTTAATTCGCCACGGGAAAGGCGCACGTCTAACACCTGGGATGTGCCGTAAACGAGCGTGACCGAGAGAAAGAAAGGGTACGCGAACTGCACGTTTGCGGTCCACGGATGAGACTTGTTAGCGGCGGGCTTGTTATAGCGAGAGTCAATTAGCGGTGATCTTTGACAAGCAGGTAAGTACGAATTCTTTGACACTGGGGTGATAACGAATATGCTGAATTAAGCCTGTGAAGTAAGCGTGCAATTGTTTAATTAGAGGAAAATATAAAATGGTATTTCAATTACACACACGAGCTGTGCATCGAAATCTTCTTACTTCGCAAACGGTATAAAAATATAATTTTTATTTTATCTCTTTCTGCTATGTTTTTCATTAACGCGACATTGTAAGCTTGACATATGACAGTGATAACACATACGGACGTCGGGGTTGACTTTACTTTGGAAAGATCTAATAATCTGTGATCACACAAGTTCCACATGATTGCATATAATTAAACGCGGTTGATAGTCGCGTAGGAATTTATACGGGGCACTTTAATTACGTTATCATAAATGGAGATCAATTGAAAATCCTATTAGGGGCATTATGCAAATTTAATAACTGTTAATTAACGGATACTATGAAATTTCGATATGTAGTCCACGTATCATAGTCCCACTGACGTAATTATCGATACTTAATTGCTTTGGAATAACCAATTAAAGGACTTTTTCAAATATTTACACGGTTTCCATTGCACAATATGAGAAGACCTCGACATAAATTAAGAATGAACCGATACTTATTTTCTTCAGGGTTATCCGACGCACGATAAAGGGTGATAAAAAGTGCACTGTGAAAGAAACTAACACATTTAATTGTCAGGTTTACACGTTATTCTTCTACTTAACTACACTGTTAAATCGATAGTGTCAAATTTAACCTTATTTTAGTTGCCACTGCTCCTACTTAATAAATAGATATTTTTAACTACAACAATGGAGTTAAATAATTCAAAACTTTTCAAATTTAATCCAAATTTGAGTTAAATTTCATCGTTTTTTTTAAATAACTATATATCAAGTAGGAATAATGGCGACTTAAATAGGGTTAAATTTGACACTATAGGTGTACAGATTCGCATAATTCAATATCACGATATTTGAAGATATAATGATTTTTTTTAAATACAAGATTATAACTCATATAAATAATCAATTTTTAAAAGTATTTAAATGTTTTTTTCTCATATGACGTGTAGTTTTTCAACTGCAAATTTTCTGAGTCCATACGACTTGTTTGAACAAATTATTCAAACGTTTATACGAACTTTTTCCTTATTTGTCATGTTTCTTGTAAATTTTCTCGATATTGTGCATGAGAAATGATGATATTAGCCCATTGTTTTTAACGATTTATACTTAACTAACGGATGGTATATTTTATTTAAAAAAAATAAATAAATAAAACTGAAACCTGCAGGTCAGAGCAATGAAAATCAGGCCGTAATATGTTAAAATTAAATATATAAAATTCAATTTTAATATCACACAATATTCGTAAAAAATCACAGTATTTAATTTTTAATTAGAAATGCCCGAAAAAAAGCTTAAATTTGATATAATAAATTCCTAGAAGAAAAATTTCCAATTGTGCGACAGGTGTATCGTTACCTAATCTAATTGCCGGCAATTACTCGCGCTTATCTTACTCTCAATATAAGCTAACTTCCGCCTTGATTGATCCCGCCGACGTTATGTTTGCGCATGCAATTATCGCAAATTATCGCTAATCACTTACGGCGAAAGAGAAAGAGATCCACGCGAGGCTATTGCTCCTTATCATCTTCTTCGATCCGCGAAATAAAGAGTCTGTTTATTGAATTATTATCGATGAGTCGTTATCGCGCGCGCATTTCCGACCGTTGTCTTCCCCCGTTCTCGCATGAGTGGGATTCTATAATTACGAACGTATAATTACGATAGAGTGGCGCTTTGCCCAAGGCGACAAATACTATCACATGCTGCGATGTCGCGCATGCGACCGAAAGTTGCCGCGACTTCGCAAAGACACGCCGTAATTTCACTTTTCGCGAGACCTCTATCCTTTGTATAAATTACGTAATAAATTTACGTAATAAATCAAAATAAAAAAATATTAAAAGAAAAACAAATGTTATACGTACAATAAAAGTTAAATGCATTTAAAGCTCCAATTGAGATTTAATGAATTAAGATTTATGAAGATTTAAATCTAAAATTTTATTCTGATTTTCTCTAAAAGTAAGATCGATATTTAATTGTATTAAATTTTACATTCTAAAATATATATTATTATAGACTTTATACTTTATTCGTATTCGAGAAGAAAATAATAAATGATTCAAAACAAGCAGACCTTTATATAAATCATTGATTGGCATGCCTGGTTTTTTTATGGGAATCTGAACCTGGCAGAAACCGGTCGTTTATTTTTCATTCGCGAAAAAATATACACGGCGACGGGAGATTAATACGGCAATGATCTCATGGATGTTTGACATGTTCGTTTCCATGCCAGTGGTCGATGCTGTTAAGTCACAGCGACGTTCCTGACTGTCATTGAGAGCATATGTCGTTATGTCAGCAACGTGGAGCCCTGCTGACAAGGTCGCGCCATTTAATCGTGGACTTGTGAAACGATTTCTTTGAGGTTGCGTCAACGGTGCCGCGTCGAAGCATCATCATCGTAATGTAAATAATGTCACAGATCTCGGCTGTCAATCATACATGTAACGAATGCATCGATGAAAAGACTCGCTGTTATAATTTATCAAACGACAAATGTTAATAGAAACATCGATTTTGTTATGAGATAATAAATGATTAGAGCAATTAGAAGCACGTAATTAAAGCAACATTGAAGCAAATAAAGTTACAAAGTTATATTTAATTATCGTGATAATTAAAACAAAATTCGTTACAGAGTTCATCATGTATCTAGAATATATAAAGTAGTAATTTCTCTCGCGTACTTTTTATTATTAAAAATGTAATTCCAAAGTTTCCAAATATGATTGACTTAAAACAGTTGAAACAATACAGTTAATAAAACTTAATAAAAATAATTATAATTACTGCGATATTATATAAATAATAAAAATTTATATTTTTTATATAATAATTCTTTTGCTTCAAAATATCTAATACTGAAAATGCATTATCTTTACGCTAAAGATAAAGTAAACAAATTTCACTATCTTTGGTTTCACATTTATATTCTTTTATTTAATCCTAAGTAATATACCTTAAAGTATAATGCAAAGTGTAATTTATTTTCACATTTATGACTTTTTTTACTTTTTTCCCCTGGTGAAATGGAATATTTACACTTTATACACGCTTACTCCTCTCAAGTAGTACAGAGATATTGTAAAAATGTTAAAGAAGGCAAGCCATTTTTTTCCCATTTCCTCAAAATCATGATGGATCGAGGTAAATGCTACTCGACCTCACCGCATCGTTATATTGCCTTCGAGCGGATCTCGAGATGCAGATTCGAGCGAGCGGTACGCACGCGTTGAATCGCGCGCGCGCATGCAGATTAACGGTGCATCGCGCGGCTTATCGACAGCCCGGCGTGTTCGTCCGATCGGTCGAAATTTTCTCGACGAGCCCGATTGCGTGACGCGCTCTGCGAAATCGACAATAAATCCCCAGGCAGGACGCCTCTACAGAGAGAGGGGTAAGAGGTGTTCCCTCTACGCGGTATCTATGGGCGCGAGTGCGAGCAAACGGTTATCAAACTGCCGCGGATTGCGACAAAAAGTCTCTCGCGCGCCTTGGACCCATCCTCCTCCTCCTCCTCGTCCTCTACCTTCTCTTCCTCCTCCTCCTCCTCCTCCTCCTCCACCACCACCTCGTCCGGGGATGTACGCTTATCGATCAGGGAGTGCACCGTATAGCCTGGTAACGCGGTTACGTCACGTATATAAATGCTAAATATCCAGGCTATGTTCGAGAAACATCGCTCTTTCTAACCGGAGACGGTTTCGTGCTCGCAAATTGCTTAGACAATAATAGAAAATTATATTTGTATTATTGATCGGATGATTAAAATGTTTCTCTGTCGTTTTGGTATGCTAGAACATTCGTTGAATTACGGAAGTATAGCGTTACGTGAAAATTGCGTGAAAAATATTTTTGCAAATTGTTATTTGAATGAATTTAAATCTCGCGCAAAAAATGCGCATATTTTACAATAATGTCCGTATCGAGTTCGTAATAGATGCATGAAACCTCTACCCTTTTCAGACACATATCCAGCTGGCGGGATTGTATATGATTCGTAGGTATGCGCATCTCTCAGGCAAAAAATTGTCAAAGAGGTGTTACAGAATAAAACATTATGTCGACATGGTACTGCAGTAGTATCTAGCTTGTGCTGCGTCGAAAAAACAAGCCATTACTCGAAAGAAAGTAAAATTTGATTGATTAAAATATAACATTTTTCCCAAATATTTTTCACGTTTAAAAGACACAAGATCAAATTAAATTTTATTTTTCACTCAATAAAATAAATAAATATGTTGTAGCAAGAGACAAATATGTATCATGTACATAAATTAATGAAAGAGAGAAGCTTAAAAATAATGTAATAAAGAAACGCGTGACAATATTCACGTAATAGGATTCACATGCGCCAAGTGCAGCTTGGAGCTAAAGCGCGAACGAAGCAAGACGCGGAAACACGTGTCCACACATGTGCACACTGCTGAGCAATGATATTCAAAATTTTCAATTTCCTCGATTGCATAAGCAGATTCCTATTCACGTTATTTACTGTAACTGTCGATACGTGCGCGTGGAAACCTCCAAGAGATAACGCGCGAATAGAAAATCGCGAAGCTAACTCAACAGCAAAATGTTATACACTTCAATAGATAGAGAAGTTCGTGTTTTTTCTGTTTTTACTTTGTTATCGCATCGAAATGCAACGACACGAGAAATGTAAAGACTATTGACAAATTTCTGTATCAAAATACATTTTTTAGATATATATTTTTTGCAATTATACGTAAATTTTAAATACGAAGCGATTAAATTATCTTTTATCACGTAAGATTTAAGATACAAAGCATATTCGAAAAAAACATTACATCTTTTTCATTTTTACACTGCTCTAACAAAACATTAGTTTAGATAATATCTG